TCTGGCAGTGGTGGAGGGAGGGCTTGTCTGCTCTTACTCTGTCATGACTGTCTCTGCCTAGGAAATACTGAGGGTTTTAAGTTGTCACGATGGAATACTCTGTAGGGGAAGTGTGGCGCAGGACTATGCCTTACTGTGTGATATTCGTTATAGTCCTGCAGTTGTTGGGAGACATTATGGTTGCTAAGGGAGAATTTTTACATAAAAACTTTACCGATAGTGTGGACGACACTAGTCCGACTCCCGGCCTACGGGGAGTCGACACCAGCGATGATACCACTGAAGGTAAGCGTGTGAGGTGTTGTTGTAACGCATGAGAATTGGTAGTTATGTATTTCTCCTGTGTCGATCATGTTTTTCGGTGAACCAACCTTTGAAAAAAACAAGTATTTATTGACCTAAGCTTCTCCAGCAACAGTTTGTTACAAATGGAATGTTAGAGTTATAAATGGTGAATTAAGGTGAATAAAGAACAAGCAGACTATGAGAAGAGAGGGAGAAAGGTTGGCGTGGCAGCAAGGGTTAATTTTAATACAATTGAGGATGGGCGTAATGGTGGCTGTCACAACAAGTGTTTTAGCTGTCAGTGTAGGCGACATGTGAGGCGCCGCGGTCACCTCCCTTACCCACATGGTGTGCCCACCCTCACCAGCTGAGGTCTTGGGACGCAGGGAGGGCAAGTGCTCTAGTCTGAAAATGAGGGAGGTGTGGCTGGGGTGGTGGAGTGTGTCAGGTGCAGGAGGGTACTGCTGGTGAGTGCCGCCTCCTCCCTCACTATGGTATGCGACTTTATACTGTTTTGTTCGGTTAAGCGGGAGTGTCTCGAGAATCATTGCCTGTGCATCTTTCACGTAACAAATAAACATGATACTACGGTGTGTTAGACGTAAACTATGATTTATCTCGTATTTCGTACTGGGATGTTATTCTTATAAAAATGTAATATTAACCTTCAATTATTACGGTTTTGAAGCTTTGATATCACATGTTATAATTATGAAAATCAAAATGTAAACATGAGTAGAAAAAAAAAGTTTTTACTCCTTGAGGACGAGAGGGCGGAAGTGTGCATTTTAGATTCCAATTTGATTGTCATGTTTATATCCTTCAGTAAGTGAGTGAGCGAGATGTGTCTTTACATAACCAGTTAAGGGAAAATCCTAATTCGAGCCTTGTGTTGCGTGTGCTGGGCTGCTGCCCTGACCCCTGCTCACATCCTCCTGTTTACTTTACGTCGCGGGAACAGCTCATCATGGTCCTGTAGGTTCGGTCACTCTTTAAGTTTGTTAAAACCCGGACATAGTATATTTACTCCTGTTTATTTTGTTTTAAAGGACTCAACTTTTTTACATATTCATTCCACAGTGTGGGTTTTGCCTTTGGGTTCTTTCCATGATCATTGTTTTGGTCTTATCCACATTTATCTCAAGTCCTGTTTAATTTGCTATTTCCTTAAAGGTTATTGCCAGCGTATTTACTTCTTGGATGTTGTTGCTTACTATATCCAGTTCATTAACTTATACGAGCATTCTAATTTGGATCTTCTTTAATTCATTTCCTTCCCACATATGGTGGATTTTTCTTGATATATATATATATACACACATATACATATGGGTACGAACTGTCTTGTAAATTGGGTACGACTTGACATGTTCTGATGGGTACGAGTTGTCCAGCACGGGGATTACTATTGTGGAGCAGAGACGATACTTATCAGACTATCAGTAACCATTCTCGACATTAAAATACTGCACTTGAGAGAAGCTGTGATTGTGTTGGTACACTATCAGTTCTCTCCTTGTGTTGGTGCTTTCATACCTATCTCCTTGAGCTGCCCGGTTCACCTGAGGTAGAATGACACTATGGCTACATATAATTGTAATAACTAACGTGAATTAACAATAGATGCCTGTACATACAACACACACAATACTAAGCCTTTAATAAACAAGGTAGCATTTTGGCCTGCGCTTTCATTTCCCCAGTTCTAAAGTTAGGGCTCCATTCACCGCTTGGGTTGACTGGTGGTGGTGCTTCCGCTGGGAAGTGTGTAGGCCAGCACGGTAACCACTCTCACCACCGGACCTCAATACATGCATTCGGCAGTTTATAAAGTTCACACTACATAACTTACAACAGAATATATAAGTAAAATACTCCCTGGCGAATAAAAACAAGCCATCATTGAACTCGCTAATATTAACAAGAACGGACCTCTCAGCAATCTCTCGTCCATTCCTGCTAAAATCTGACAAAATTCACCGTTGGATTGTTTTCATTCGCAGGAACACATGGAGACAGATGCCAACTTGGCGCCTCATAAGCCAATTCAAAGTAATGGGAGTAGCAGCAGCCAGTCGTATCTTGAAATAGCATCTTCTGAGAGGAGTAAATATTTAGTTGTTGCAGGTTAATATATATATAAGCGCGGCTCCCTTGAAGGTCTGTTATATCTTCACTTTATTCAGTATTTCGTCAGTAAAAAGCTCATGTCTATTCCCTTTAAGTTATACTCCTCTGATACGAGTAAAAGTTCGCGTGTGGTTTGTCGACCTCCGGAACACTGTAAATACGGGATCCCACCTGACCTCTCAATCTGACTCCTGCCTCTCCCTCATAACAAACACCCTGACCCCCCCCCCCTTGAGCTCCCTGATACCAGAAACCTCCCTGACTGACCCTTGGAACTCCTTCACTAATGGAGCCCATCAGACCCTTGGACTATCCTAATATCAACTCCTGGCCCTTGGAACTGATAATAGAACTCTAAGAGACGTCTTCCCCAGGAGTCCTGACCTGCCGCGAAGTGTATTTATTTAAGTGGAAGGATATGTTGGTTATACGTGGCATGCTAATGTAGTGGTGATGTGTCGCCGGGGTCGGTGGGGATGGTGTGGCGTCAGTCGGGGTCATCAGACAACATTAGCGGCTGGGTAGGGATGGTATGGCGTCAGTCGGGGTCATCAGACAACATTAACGGCTGGGTAGGGATGGTATGGCGTCAGTCGGGGTCATCAGACAACATTAACGGCTGGGTAGGGATGGTATGGCGTCAGTCGGGGTCATCAGACAACGCTAGTGGCTGGCTGGGTAAGTCAACCGCCCGCCAACCCTACACCCGCTATCACCTCCTTCAGCCACTACCGTCTGTTGAATCTGGTCAAGAGTTAAAGGTTTCAGTTAACAAAGGTCACACAATACTAAAACAACATTTATGATCAGCTGCTTTTTATTATTGTTTTAAGAACATAAGAATGGAGGAAACCTCAGCGGGCCTATTGGCCCATACTGGGCAGTCCCATTTACACCTAACCCCTATTGCTCATATATCCATCCAACCTATGTTTGAAGCTACCCAATGTTTACCTATCTCGCGCCTTAATCTAAATTTGTCTAATTTAAAATCATTGTTACGAGTTCGTTCCTGGTTGGATAGTTTGAGTACCTTTGTTATATCACCTTTGTTTAGCCCTGACTTCCATTTATACACCTTGATCATATCGCACCTCACTCTACGTCTCTCTTGTTGTCTGCTATGGCACATTTTACACTTGCACCTTTTACTCATGTCTACTATGGCACCTTTTACTCATGTCTACTATGGCACCTTTTACTCATGTCTACTATGGCACCTTTTACTCATGTCTACTAAGGCACTTTTTACTATTGTCTGCTATGACACCCTTTCCTTTTGTTTACTATGGCATCTTTTCCTCTTCTCTGCTATGGCACCTTTTCCTCTTCTCTGCTATGGCACCTTTTACTCTTGTCTACTATGGCACCTTTTACTCTTGTCTACTATGGCACCTTTTCCTCTTCTCTACTATGGCACCTTTCCTTGTTACTGTGGCATCTTTCCCCTTGTTGTCTGCTATGACAATCCCCCTTTTTCCTGCTGTCATCTGCTATGGTTAGTCACACACAGGTCTCACCGGTACACCTACCTAGTTTCTGGCATATACTTGTGCCTGTATAGCCATCTCGGTCCCTACCATACCATACCATACCATACTATACCATACTATACCATACCATACCATACCATACTATACCATACCATACCATACCATACCATACCATACCATACCATACCATACCATACCATACCATACCTTACCATACCTTACCATACCTTACCATACCATGAAGATTGGGGCTCAAGTCTTAAAGTGCCCCAGTCCTCATAGCTTAGGTTAGGCTGGTTTATTCTTGGTTGGGTTATGTGAGGTTGGGTTCGTTTAGTTGTGGTGTTATGTTCAGCATGCTTGCCTCGCAAGCGAGCAGACCCGAGTTCGATCCCCGGGCAGGGTAAAACTATGGGCAAGTTTCTTTACGCCATTTGCCTCTGTCTACCCAGCAGTAATTGGGGACCTGGATGTTAATCGACTGCGGATCGTATTGTGGGGTAATGGCTAACCAGTGCAGTTGCCGAGTTGTCCGGTCTTCTCGGACTATTCCTTGACACTGGGTCATGCAGCTCGTTAACTTAGGGTGTGGTTGTTGTGTTGGCGACAGCTTCTACACCTTAAACAAATTCACGTCTAGGTGGCCCTTGGGCCGGCCATCCTCGGTACACGAGGGGCGACCATTATTATAATTACTATAATGTTGGGTTAGGTGACGTAAGGGTGGATTTGGCGAGGTTGGGTTATGTTAGTTTGGGTTGGGTTAGGTTGGAGCCCATTTTATCCTTTATGGAAGCTTTATATTGTAATGTAACGTATCCAACTCTGTACATCAGTTAAACCTAACCTCATAACCAGTCTCAGAAGCTGCGGTCGTGGCGCCACATATCCTGGACTATGTTGGCGAAAACTTGGCGAGTCAGAATTCCTAGTAGGATGGGTTGCCAGTGCCAGGTAAGACAGGCTGACAAGACAACCAGAGGAGGAGTTTCCCCATAACCCTGATTAGAGTCTCACCAGGACGCCAGATTACAACACCTCCAGGGACTACTTTATCTCACAGCATCACGCACTGTAGGTTGTCTCTATAGCCAAGAGACCCCCCCCCCCCCCTACACTACACTATGCTGCATTAAGTTTCTGTTTTATTCAAAGTTTAGAGGTAAATGCCTAGAGTCTGTAATTTCTAACATCTTCACAGAGTCGCGGGAAACTAGTAGAGGACTCGACGCTGGTGGTGAAGTGTGTTGTGGGCAATAAAATTGTAAGAATCAAAAACAGTTGTCAAGCGTTAACCCGATAACAAGTTACGATGTGTATCTGATGAGGCAAATATTTGTGGTTAAGTTGACCTGCGGCCAACAAACACTCGTTGGG